TGGTGACCACAGCAGCGTCCCCAGGGCCACCTGTGATCCCGTCTGTGCTCGGGTCCTGTCTGTGTCACCGTGCAGGAGCATGGGCCAGCAGGACAGCGTCCCCGCTGGGCCATGGCTGTGCAGAGCCCCTCTCTGTGGTCCTTGTCCCCCTTCTCCATCCCACTAGGACAGGCATGTCCTGTGCTGTGCACAAGCTCTCCCCAGCCTCTGGGGCCCTCAGCTCTGGAGTCCTGGCTCTGCCCTGGGTTCAGCCCATCCCGAAGGATGGTGGCCAGAGCAGGAGGGGCTGTGTGGGACACCCGTTGCTCCCGACTTCTCCCCCTTTTGGGGTGTACTGCTCTTATCTCGGCTGGCCTGTGCAGGTCTGTCCCCTCTCCGGTGTCCTGCACAGCAGGTCCCTGATCTCGCTGCTGCCCTGAGCACAGGAGCCACCTGTCACGTGCGCGGGGAGGAAGTGGCCTCCCGGGGCTGTGAGCAGCAGTGGTGGTGTTGGCTGCAGATGCTGACGGCGCTTTCTGCAGCACTTCACTGAAACAGACCCGGCTTGGTCTGGGGTCTGCGTGAGGGGCAGGACAAGGGCCTGGTGGTGAGAGGAGTGCAATGGGTCGGCTGTGCTTGTGCTGGTCAGCGTTGACCCTTGGAAGGAAGTCTGGCCCCAGAGGCTTTTGCAGCAACCCCAGAGGCTGCTGCTGCTGCATGTGAGAGCACTAGTGAGGCAGAAAATTGCCCCTGGATTTGGGGATTGAGGTTTAGGAGGGGTGTGGGAACCTGCATGTGAACGTGTTCAGGTCTGAGGAGCACAGCTTTGGTGCAAGACTTTGAAGTACTTTATACCATTAATAGAGTAATGCTGGTAAGGCAAATGCTTTGTTTACTATTGGTAGCCAAGCTGCTGCTTCTGGGCTTTTCCTGTGGAGAGCTGCACTCCTCCGTCTTGTACCTCTTGCCTCTGGGTCACTTCCCTTCTGTCCAACCAATGCTGCCTTACCCAGGGAGCACATCATAGTTTCCCCTGCCCAACTGTCACTGGTTTTTCTCACCCTGCTCCGTTCTGGGTGGTAACTGCGTGTCATTTCCTAGCCTATCTGGTGCCCTTTGCTGGAGCTGCTCGGGTAAGGCAGCGGGTCTCCAACAGGGCCTGCAGCTCTGGCCCCGGGGCATCTCGCAGTGACGTCCCCTCGAGGCTGCATCCAGCTCCAGTGTCACGGCTTGTTCAGGGCCCCTGCCCGGGCGCTGTGCAGCCACTGAGCGCAGTGTGCCCCTGTGCTGCTGCGGGCCGAGCTATGGCTGTCGCTGCAGGGAGCGGAAGGAGCAGGACGTGCAGTGCAGTCTTGCACAGGACGTGCAGAACCAGCGCCGCAGCCACGCACCCTTCGACAGGAAGCAGCCTGTGTGGCGTGCTGGGCTGGCCCGTGCCAGGCAGGATGTGACCCTTTGCTTCCCCGCAGGTGATGTTCTCCTTCGAAGCTGGCCGGCGCTGTGACTCTGGCCCAGGCAACTTCACCTTTGAGACCAAGCAGGGCAACGAGATCTTCCGCCTGGTGGAGGCCTCCATCCGGGAGCAGAAAGCGCAGGTGGAGGAGAACCGGCAAAGCTGCGACTCGCTGGAGTCAGACAGCCCCAGCGTGGTGCTGATCCGCCAGGCCCTGGCCGACTCCCTGAGCCTGGAGCTGCCCGCGGAGGGGGATGACTCCCAGGCACCCAAAG